CTTCGTTACACGTTTATACAATCCTCCTGTGCTTGGTAACCCGCCTTCAATTTCGAGTGTCCAAAAGTGCATTGCAAATAAAAACGGCACCTCTGGCCTCCTCAATGAACCGCACAAAACCGATCGCACACATTCCAATACCAACAGCACCCCGCTCGTTCTTCAAGCTAGCTACGTTCAATGTTCGAACGCTCATACAGATTGGTTCACAAGCTGCTCTTGCGCGAACCTTGGAAACCCTCTCAATCGACGTTCGCTGCCTAACCGAAAACCGTTGACAAGACTCCAGCACAACGTTGCGATTGCCCTCACCCTCCCTAAGTTCCAATTGAATATTCATCTTGCGTTTATTTGGAGATGCGACAGCGGCAGCCTCTGGTTGTGCCGGTGTGGAAGTTGCGTTAAGCGCGCGTGCCGAGACAGCGCTCATTGACTGGTTCCTAGTTAACAGTCATTTTTGTGCAGTCAGTTTGGAAAGCTCAGTGAGATTTTTCAGCCACGGGACTAGTAGGCGCTGCTTATTCATTGTGGCGGCATACCCTCCAACAGACTGCAGCCTAGACGAAACTAAAGATGAGTTCTACCGCCAACTCATCCACCTCCTTCGCAAGAAACGCCGCACGGACATCGTGATACTCGCCGGTGACGTAAATGCGCAGGTCGGTAGACTAGAGGTTCATGAGTGCGAACATGGGGGGTCAACACAGCCACGGTACTTGCAGGACGGACAACGGCGATCGACTCCTGCCAATGGACGCCGACCACGGCTTGTTCCACTCTAGCACCAACTTCCGACCTTCCTAGCGCCAACGAGCCACCCGGCGACCTCCGGCGCCTGGTCAATATTGGACGCAAATTGACCACATCGCTGTTAGTTACCGTTGTCGTGGCTGCATAACGGACTGCAAGTCAGTATGGAACAATTACCTGACTTCGGATCATGCGCTCGTATGTGCTAAGTTCGTTCTGCGTTTTGGAGGCACCCAACAGTGTTGCCGGAAACGGTTTGACACAGACAAGCTCGCCGTTCCAAATGTTCTCGGCGCATTTCAAAACTCACTAGCCTGCAATCTACATTCTCTATACTCCGACATTGAGACACATTGCGTACAGATCCAGAGCGGCTTACGAAAGTCCGCTACCCTAGTTTGTGGTTTTACTAGACGAGCTGTTAGTCATTGGATCTCCGCACAGTCTCTCTAATTAATGGAAAGTCGTCGAACAATTCCAGCCGAAGTTGAGTACAACGCACTACTCGGTACCACAGGTGCTGAGCTCAGACAGCTTCACAGGAAGGATCGTGAAGTTTGGTGGACACAGCGCGTCGTCGAGATGGGGCGGACAGCCTCATCAGGAAACTCCCGAAAACTCTTCCAACTTATTCGCTCCACGTGAGGCAGAAGACCAATAGTGCGTGAGGTTTTTCGTGAAAATGACGGTGAACTAATTCACAGTCGTCACTGTCGTCTGGTATGATGGGCAGAGCATTTTGAAGATTAATTCAACTGGCCATCAGCGCAACCGAGTCTACTTTCCGGGGTTCAAAGTGCTCCCTGATGCGTGGATGTTTCTCCACCGACAGAGACTGAGGTTTCCAATGAACTTCGGCTACTAAAGCGCCACAAGTTACCTGACCCAGATGAACTTCCTCCTGTCCTGTTCAAATATGAAGGTCCAGATCTCACTCGAGAACTGACATCTCTGTTCCAACAGATTTGGACTACTGAAACCATTCCATCCGACTGGAATTTAGCAGATGTTGTACCTGTTTACAAAAAAGGAGACCGGACCATTTGCTCCAACCATCGTGGCATGTCATTTGTGTCGCATCCAAACTGCTCGCTGCCGTACTCTTACGGAGGCTCAGTTGCGTACGGGAATAGCAACTGAGTGAACAACAAGCTGGATTTCGCCTGGGTCGCATTTGTGTCCATCAAATCTTTACGATCCGCCAGATACTTGAACATCGCCATAGGTTCAGTCGATCAACCATAGTCATATTCTTGGACATTCGAGCCGCTTTTGACTCTGTTGACAAAGTGGCTCTTTGGGAGTGCTTACTGAGGAGGGGAGAACGTCTGAAGTACCTCCCCATTTTCCTGGTTATTTACCATCAAACTTCGGGCCGCGTGCGAGCGTACGGAGACATTTCGCCCCCTTTCAGTATCCCCAGCGGTGTTAGACTGGGTTGCCCAGCCTCTCCATTCTTGTTCAACTTCGTCATGGACGAGATCCTGGATACTGACCTGGATAACTCTGTCCTGCGGTGTTGAACTGCTCCCTGGTGACCGGCCTTCGGGACTTAGAGTACGCCGATGACATGGCTGTGATTTTCGAGTCCTCCCAAGCCGTCCAGCATGTGCTTCTCAGACTGCAGATGTCCGCCACCCAATTTGGATTGATTTTGCCCCTTCCAAATGTAAGATCCTATTACAAGACTGGCCAAGCGCATATCCTTCTCTCACCCTTTCGGGGCATCCGTTGGAAATGGTCGATAAATTCATTTATCTTGGGAGTTGTCTTAGTATTGGCGGTTTGACGGATGAGATCTCTCTGCGTGTCTCCAAGGCTAGAGTCGCTTTGGCTAACCCTCGTCATCTGTGGCTTCGTCGTTATCTCAGCCTTGCTCTCAAGAGAAGAGTCAACAATGTTAGGGTACGAGCGATTCTGCTGTACGACTGTGAGACTTGGCCCGTTCGCAAAAGCGATGTTCAGCAGCTATCAGCCTTCGATCACCGCTGCCTGCGAAGCATTGCTGGTGTTAGATGTCAGCACCACATCAGTAATGAGGAAATCCATCGGCGAGTCTTCAGATCTAACGAACTCCGCTGATCGATCGATAGCATCATTTCACTGCGTAGGCTTCGCTGTTTTGGCCAAGTGCTTCGCATGCCTACCCAGCGGCTACTACGGCGAGGCCTATTGGCGAGCCCAGATGTGGCTTGGAAACGACGAAAAGGAGGGCAACGTAAAACTTGGATCCAAAGTGTTAAGGCGCAAACGTTGAAGAAGGCTGTTGTCGGACGTTCCCGACTCCCGGATTGGGGACCAAAGGACCCCAAGCACACCTTGTTGCAAACGCTGGAGGATATGGCCAAGTACCGTACGCAATGGCGCACTTGCTGTGAGACTCTTCTATCCCAACAGTTGTCTTCCCTTTCATGCTATCTTTTTCTTCTTATGTGTTGTGGCACTCAGCAAATTATATTGTAATTGGTATGGTTGGCGGCATCCGGTTTCGGATTTGCCTGTCACTGTGGCCAGCCACAGGAAGCCTGCGCCTACAGAGGGAGCATGGGTGGCTTGCGCTGCACCACCCACAGCTCCAACCACACACACCATATCCAGTGTAAACCCGAAGCAATAAGACCGGAAGGCATGTGGATGGGAGCCACGTTTCATCACTGAGCCGGCCCACACTCCTTCACAGGCAAACACAAGCACGCTGTATTTGGGAATCAAGCGCACACACAAGGCGGTGGCTGGACCGTAGTCCGCTCCACACTAAGTGCATGGAACCACTCTTTGATCCTAACACGGCGACAAGAACCGTGAACCCTGTCCCCTCTAGCAACGACCAACTGTCTCCTAGAGCCAGTATGGACGAGGTAGTGGGTAATAGACAGGTAGGCACCTTGTCAACATGCACATCAAGCACAGCCACACCAGGGATATCAAGCAACAGCCAATCACTTGAGAGAAAGATAACAAATAAACTAGATCGAGTGATGCATAAGGAAACGAGACAAAATCTTAAATTAATGAGCATATGAAATAAGTTGTTTACAAAGGATCCGAGATAAGTTCACGAGGTCAGAATGGATATTTTACGGAAATGGCACAAACACGAAAATGTCATCGAAATTAACTACAACTGGCTTAAACGAAGTGTGCAAGTTTATAGAAGAGCGTACAGGTAGACATTTATATGAGAAAGAAAAGCATTAGGACAAAATTGAAAACCAACCATCTGAAATAAATAGACGTTGCATGCAAGCACGCGGTTAGTAAATCGAATGCAGCATACCTACAAACGCTGCGCCGGTTCTGCCTAGGTTCTCTGCAGGACCCGTCGTCGCTTCGGTAGTGGTCCCGAGTGGCCTCGCTCATGGCTCACTAAGCCTGCCTGACTCAGGCACTCGCGACCGCATGTGCTACAGCACCATGCGCTTGATGTCAATGGAGTACAATCCATCGTTGCTTGTCGCTTCTTCTCTGCATGTATGAGGTATAGTGTCGAATATATATATATATATATATATATATATATATTTATTTATTTATAAAATCGACTACCTAGCTCTGCTGTCCGGTCGGAGGAGAGGCAAAAAGGCCGTTGGTTTTAACACAGGACAACGACGCTGGTCTTTGTGGACGCATTTAAGTAATATATAGTGTGAGCACCATGAGAAAGTGCATGATGTCCGTAGTGCTGATTAACCCAGGCTGAACAAAGCGTTTGTTCTAGTAAGATCGATTTGTGCTACACTGGAGTTGATGAAAAAAAATCAACAGTGCAACGCTAAATCATGGGAGCATAAAGCATAACTAGGTTAATCTGGCTCTGCGGTTATACGTGTTTAAAGTTGAGACCTCCCTACTGTCAAAGCATTTTCGTATGCACTACTCTCGGATTGATTGAATTAGAGTGAAAAAATGTCAATCCCCACATTAGAAAACCGCTCTAGCCGTATTCAACACGAAAGATTTACTAATAGCAGAGAACGATAACGCTGTACGCGTGCGTGGTGTCCGAATAATAATAGAGAGCGAGTGACTATTATTGGGAGTGCTTAAGCGATCAGTCGATTCGCATGCGCCAAGAGAGAGATCAAAGATGATTGGTTTGCTATCTGAATGGAAAAGGTTGAGAAGTAGATAAACGGTTGGGATACTGGACGAGATTAACTTGGTGTAGAGAATAAGTGGTATCCACTAGCTGAGGTGCTTTATTTTAGTTTGCGCCGATCATTAATGAAATACGTTAGGGAGAGACTTACCAGAAATCGTAAAAATTATACACATCATTCAGGTGTGTCTGCATCGAGCCGATGGATGGCACTGGTTGCCTTTTTGACCATCTGGCTTTACGCGAGAAGAATTCTCGGAGGACGGTGAAGTAGTCTGCTTTGATTTCAGATAGGGTGGGATAGGAATCGTCCACAACAACGGGATCCACACTGTCGTAGGCATGTCTCTTGGTTGGATTGCCCAGGATTTCGTACGCTATAACGAGGAAACCATAAACAAAGTGCTGTGAAAATCTTGGGGGTGTTGAACTCACCTTAGTAAACCAAGTGAGACTGGATCACCGAAGTGTGATGGATGTAGCTGCCATGGCGTATATGGCAAACGAAACAGGCAGAACATTTCGCTGGAAATGGTTCATAAGACTTAGTGCACTCGTCAGATAGGTGGTTTGAAGCTAGAATCAATAAACAGAATGTGATAACGTCACCGATGTCACCAAGTAGGATAAGATCTTGGACTGTTGAGGTGGTTGAAGTCAAGGCTTAACTCTAAAAGCACGGTGCGCATCGAAATGCCAGTATTCCTTCGGCCGATATTCCCATGAATCTTGATCAAGTCATCGGCTTGCGATTGTGGTTCTCACCAAAGCAAGCGCAGTATCGACACACGCTAGGTCAAGCAGCCGACCAGTGTATGAGTTAAACTAGTCAGTACAGTCGGTCTAAGATAAAAAGATGGCCAAGCGCACAGCTAGAGATTTCAGAAGACACTAGTTATGCTCCCCAAGGCAGTCAAAAACAAAGAAAAGTGAGATTAGTTTCAGTGATGCAATACAAGGAAAACGTAGAAATAGATAAAGAAAAAAGAGATAACGTATATGTACAGCGTCGTGAAAAAGTTCTCCATCACCATGAAAAACCAAAAGTCTGTAGTTTGATGGCTTTGTCATCTAAAGGAAAACGGAAATGCACGAAAACTGTGTATCGTTTCCTGCAGAAATTATTATTCCAATCATTTTACGGCTTTTGTTGTGCCTACAGAATATTAAGTGGAGTAAGGTCTATGCTGTAGTCTGTGTAGAATGCTTTTAATATGCCATCAATTTCAGGATAAATGCCGACAGCAACACCTGCCACTGTACTCTCTATTTGTTGATTGCATTAAGGCACTTGACACGGTGAAGCGCGAGGCACTGTGGCGGGTGTTGGTTGTCATGGTAAGTTGGTAAGTTAAATTGAATGTCTGCACAGTGGTATGCGGGCGAGGGTACAGTTAAGTGGACAGAACTCGGATGACTGCAGTCGTCACTGGGATGAAACAAGACTGTTTCTTAGCCCTTATAATGTTTAACATTTGTGGTGGATTAAAGGTAGATACTACTGCGCCGGGTATAAGTAGTGTGGTGGTGCAAGATGACACACCAACAGCGAGCCCTGCCGACTTCCCCAAAGTTGAAGATGACATCAGGATTACAGTTCCATGCGCACGAGGAGTGAACACAGAGGCAAGCACCAGTTGGGGAACACTCCATGGAGATCACGCAGATGAGCGGACGCCTCCAAGGTATGAACGAACACACCTAGTGTAAGCCACTTTAGCAATAAACAAGTTACCGCCTGCCCCTTGGGTTCTAACATTTGGTGCCGTGACCTCGCAAGTCATGAAGATTCCCTGGCCGGAACCATTTGAAGACGGGGATGTGAAGGCGTTTTTGGAGGATTTCGAGGAGGTGGCAGAGGCGGTAGGACTGAAGACGGACCGGGCGAAGATGGCGGCCCTGCGGAGTCTCCTCAAGGGCAGGGCGAAGGCGGTTCTGGAGGCGGCGCGAAGAGGTCCGGTCAAGTTGGAGTGGACCACCGCGAAGGAAGCGTTGCTCTCTGGCCTGGACACGCCAGCGGACCGCCAGGAGGCGATGCGACGGTTCAAGGCGTCGCGGCTTGGTGCTGGGACGGATCCCCTCGTGTTTGCGGTGCACCTCAGGAGCTTGTTGGACCGCGCCTTGCCGGGGTTGGATGGGCCGTCAAAGACGCAGTTGCTGGTGGATCAGTTTTTGGCCGGCCTCCCACAGCCAACCGCGGAGCGCGTTCGGATTGCGAATGCTACTCGGAAGATGCAATTGGAGGAGTTGGCGCAAGTTACTCGAGACCTGGGCGACGCACCACTAGCTGCGCTGAAGGAAGAGCCTCATGAGAATGTGGAACGGATGGACAAATTGGAACGGATGATGGAACAGCTTACGGAAGACATCAATGGGCTTCGCGTTCAGCGTTATCGGGTGCGCACAAAGGGATGTTGCTTCATCTGCGGGAAACCGGGGCACTGGAAGAGACAATGTCCGCAGAGGCGTGGTGTTACTCGGGTGTCGAATAAACGTGTGCAACCTTATTTTTCTTTTCGGATCGAGGATTGTGTACTTGGGGCGTTGAGCAGGAGTGCGGTTGAAGCAATGGTGGAAGTAGACGGAACGATGGAAAGGTGTCTGATCGATACGGGTGCCGCGGTGTCACTAATCAACCATCGGCGAGGTGAAAAGCTTCAGTCGTGCTGCACGATCGTAAGAGCGGTTGGCGGTCATTCAGTGGGAATTGATGGGATAGCCGAACACACCGTGGGAATCGGGGGACGAAAGCGAACACACTTCTTTCTCGTGTCACCAGATGCGAAACAAACCATATTGGGAGCAGATTTCCTGGAGCTCAATAAAGCTGTCATTGATCTAAAGCGTGGGAAGTTGCTAATGGAATGCGGGTCACTACCACTCATTAATCGTGGAGAAATGAGATCTTCGCAGTCGGTCGTTGCTGTGTTACATTTGAGCCCATCTTTGCAGTCGCTGATCAACAAATACCAACCCTTGTTTACGGATGACAGCAGCCAATATGGGTTTTGCGATTGGATCGAGCACACCATCCCGCTAACTCGCCAACCGTATCGGCCCCATGGACCTCGAAGGATACCAATCCATCTGGAGGCTGAGGTGAACAGGCAAGTGCAGGAAATGCTGGACGCGGGCGTGATTGAGGAGGCACATAGCCCGTACAACTCTCCTGTGGTCTTAGTGAAGAAGACGAATGGGAAGTACCGATTCTGTGTCGACTTCCGAAGACTGAATGAAATTTCCTTGACTCGCTTCGTTCCAGTTCCATCAGTTGCTGACATTTTTGATCGGCTGCAGCAGTCGAGGATATTCACGGTCCTGGACTTGAGATCAGGATACTGGCAACTGGCAATAAAACAGGAAGATCGAGAGAAGACGGCGTTTACCGTTGGTGAGAAACAGTACCAGTTTAAGAGGATGCCCTTTGGATTATCAGGAGCCCCGTTTACCTTCCGACGTCTAATGCTGCGATTGCTGAGTGAATTGGAAAACGTGGTTGTGTACGGGGATGATATCGTGGTGTATAGCCAATCAGAAGCGGAACATATCCATCATCTCGCGGCAGTTCTGGAACGCATTCAGCAGTCGGGACTTCGTATAAATGGACCAAAGTCCCAGATCGGAAAGACCTGTGTCACCTTACTGGGCCATAAAGTGGGACAAGGCGAACTGAAACCGCTACCTGAGAAGATAATGACGATACAAGGCAGCCCAGTTCCCACCTCGAAACGCACTCTCCGTACATTCCTGGGCCGCGCCGGGTACTACAGCAAATTCGTCAAGGATTTTAACACCTTGGCCTCACCCTTGTACGAGCTGTTGAAACAAGACAGGAAATTCACTTGGAATGCAGAAGCTCAACGAGCCTTTGATCAGATTCTACAGGAAATGGGAAGGCAGGAGTTGACCCTGAAATTGCCCATTGCTGGTGAGGTGTTCACGGTAGCCACTGACGCCAGCGATGTCGGGATCGGTGCGGTGTTGAAACAAAACCATGGGACGATTGAGTATGCCTGCCGAACTTTGACACCTGCGGAACGCAGATACTCAACCATAGAGAAAGAATGTCTCGCAATTGTCTGGGCGTTGGATAAATGGCGGCCATATCTCCTGGGTCAGCGATTTCACGTCGAAACAGACCACAGACCGTTGGAGTGGATTAAGTCTGCCAAAGACCCCAGAGGAAAGCTGGCGAGATGGGCATTGCGCCTACAAGAGTATGATTTCACGATAAAACACGTGCCGGGGAGGGAAAATCAGACGGCGGATTTCTTGTCACGCATGATAGATGATGATGACCTGCCGAGCGTAGCTTTCGGTATTAACGGTATACTGTGCGAGCAGGATCCAGAACGGTTGGCAACTGAGCAACGTAGTGACAAACTCCTGCGCAAGTTGATCACCGCGCGATTAGCTGGTCAGACAAACTTCAACAAAAACCAACTTAAGCAGCTGGGACCGTTTGCAAAAGACCTGGGAAAGCTGCAAGTGAACGAAGCAGGGATCTTAATGTGGATACCAGGAGGTAGCAACCCTTCGGTGCCAGTCATTCCAATGAAACGAAGACGGAATCTGGTAGTTTCTTGTCACGAGATGGCGCACACAGGTTGTTCCAGGACCTACGATCTGCTGAAACAACGCGCGTATTGGCCGGGGATGAAAAGGGACGTTGAGAAGTGCGTGCTTTCGTGCAGACAATGTCAGCTCATGAAAACGGATTGCCGAGGAATGCAGCAGCAAACGATGACGATCCCGGTCTCGGAAATTGGTGAACTTTGGTCGGTCGACGTGATGGGGCCGTTTCCATTGACCAGGCGTGGCAACCAGTACATTTTATTGATGACGGAGCACTTCACGCGATGGATTGAGGCGACAGGAATCCCGGATCAACGGGCTAGCACCGTTACCCATGCTGTCATGAATCACTTGGTAGCGGCTCACGGAATCCCAAAGGCCATATTAACAGACCAAGGGCCGTGCTTCGAGAGTGAAGAATTCCGGAACTGTTTGGAGAAACTTGGCATCAAGAAATTGCGCACCACCCCATACCACCCGCAAACAAATGGCCTGACGGAACGTAACAATAGAACAATCAAGGAGTGGATAGCAGCAAAAGGTGGAGACTGGGAGGAAGCGTTGCCGCTACTGTTGCTGGCCCATCGAGCAACCAAACAGGCTTCCACAAAGAAATCACCATTCCATTTGATGTACGGTCGACAACCTCGTCTACCTGTGGACCTAGAGATTGGAATGTGGCCAACTTGCCGTATATCTCCCGAGGAGACACGGAATAACCGGAAGACCGCCAACCGCAACCTACAGGCGACTCAGGCGCGGATGATGGCGAAGTTCCAGACCAGCAAAGGTGGAAGGAATATCGAGTTTCAGATTGGTTCGAAAGTGAAGTACAGGGACCATCAACGCTATCCCACTTGCGGCCCAGGGGAGAGGAAACTCCTAGCGAAGTGGAAAGGACCGTACGAGGTAGTCGACCGGCGAGGCCCAGTGTATACAATCGCTCGGCAAGGTGAATCGCGGAGGGTGAATGCCGGCGAGCTGAGGAAGTGGTACGAATTGGAGGAGGAAACACGCTCATACAGTGAACATCCCCGGCGGTCAGAAAGACTCCGACGGAAGGCAGCTGACGCGAGTCCTTTGGAGGGGAGGAGTGTGGTGGATTAAAGGTAGATACTACTGCGCCGGGTATAAGTAGTGTGGTGGTGCAAGATGACACACCAACAGCGAGCCCTGCCGACTTCCCCAAAGTTGAAGATGACATCAGGATTACAGTTCCATGCGCACGAGGAGTGAACACAGAGGCAAGCACCAGTTGGGGAACACTCCATGGAGATCACGCAGATGAGCGGACGCCTCCAAGGTATGAACGAACACACCTAGTGTAAGCCACTTTAGCAATAAACAAGTTACCGCCTGCCCCTTGGGTTCTAACAATTTGTCTAAATGCAATGATGTCTTGTGCTTTTGATACTGTTTATCATTACGGTGTTCGTGTGGAACACTGCATTACTGAACATCCGCCGTTTCGGGGTGAGAACCCCAAGGTGAGACAAGCATCCGTATGTTACCATTCGCGGAAGACTACACGTAGTTTGCACACAGCGAGGATAAGTTGCAGCGAACAATGGCTAGTCTCGCTTCAAGATCGGCCAAATTAGGGTTCACCGTCAAGACAAACAATGCAGTTTGTCGTTTTCAGCTGTCACCAGCAATGGAATCAGTGGGCTGTTCGCAGATCAAGATTGCTGATAAAGGTTTTGAGATCTCAACAAGTTTTCCATACCTCAGGAGCATACTGTCAATGGACCTGCAGATTACCAGTGAGCTGAGCACGCGCGTATTGAAGGCGAGTGCTGCATTTTGAGTGCTGGAGTATCGGGTGTAGAGGAATCATGAGTTGGCTTTTGGAACGAAGCTGATCGTGTTCACGATTCATGTCTATGGCAGCGAAACATAGACGCAAAACAAAAAGGACATCCGATATTTGGAGCCTTTTTAACAATAATGCCTGCGTCGGATTCATCGCGTCTGTCGGAGACAGAAATCTTGACACGAAAGTGATCCGTGAAGTGGCATACATGCAATGGACTGCATACTTTTGCTGCGGCACCTGACGTGGCTAGGACATGTACGCCGTATAGATACGACCAGAATAGTAAAGCGTTTTTCATATGGCAAAATGCTTGTATGGGAGCCGAAGGTAGAAAAACCGAAGTTGCGCTAGTAGGACATGATCAAGGTGTTTATTACGAAGTAATGTTGACTTTGGGTGTTGGAAAACAATGACAGTGAACCGCTGTCAGTGATACGATCACGTAGAGTATGCAGTTTCCAAGGTGCATCAGAGAAAACTGATGCCACAGGAAGAAAAACGCTGGTTACCGAAGCGACAGACGCCGATGGAACTCAGCCCGTCAAGCACATGGTGTTATAGCACATGCGGTCGTGTGTGCCTAAGTCGAACCGGCTTGGTCAGTCACCAACATGGCCATGAAGGGCCAGTATCGAAGTGACGGTGGGCAAATTAGATGGACAAGTGTCAGCGCTTGGTAAATACGTTGCTTCCAGTTCCATTTACCAGCCCAGGTCAATAATGCAGTGGATGTGGCACGCGTGCTACGTTATCACTGTTGTTGGTGTGCACGTGTGTTTGCACTTGGTGCGTGTGTCGACAAGGTGCCCACCTATCGGGGTAAAAAAGCATCAGCAGTACGTCGGTACACAGTATTAACACTTCGCTGCCGCGCAACCACCACCGGTCGCACGTGGGCTAAGAATACTGCGAGGGTAACCCGGTCCCTACACAAGCTAGAACCCCCGCCCTCGGATTACAAGTAGAATTGTGATTCTTAAGGCGACGGGACCAGTCGGGAACCGGCACCTCTATTATGCTGGCTCTCGAAAACTGTTAATCGTTGCTGGTGAAGACGGACTGCGCAGCATTCATGACAGTGCTAAGCTAAAAGAATGGTTTCATCTAATATAAGATGGCTAAGGCTCAGTAACCGTATTGTGTACGTCTGGTATGTAGGTTTCCTCTTGCTTAAATGTGTATGTTGTGGGAGTGTGAGCTAGGTTTGAATACATCGTTGCTCCTACCTATATGTCTCACTGTCTTATTCCTTTGAGTTTAGCCTGGAAATTAGCTGTAGTGATGCAGCTGTGGGTGATGCAGCGCAAGTCACCCATGGTCCCTCAGTAGGCGCAGACGTCCTGTAGTTACCCTATGGAGGCCATAGTGACAGGTAAATCCGGAAATGTATGCTGCTAACCATAGATCTGGCACAGGACGCTTCAGAACAATCGATCGCACAGAGATGCATACCATGGTTCCGATGACATATGCATGATGCAATCTCTTCCGGCTTCGACCGTGTTTAACATGAGGAGAACCTACTTGTCACCGGAACTCACACATCAACCAACAGTACTGTCAAGCTTCGTTTGGTCGCACGCCCGCAAGCAACGAGCTTAATGAGCTGAATGCATATTGGCGTGGCCTCCAATGCCAACGAAGAGGGCACTGGCGGCTGCACTCAAACTATCAAAAGTGTCAAAGTCATGAATGTGTTTCTGAGAATTCAAGCAGTTCGATTGAAGAAAGTACGATACCATCGCGACATTAGTTTACAAGGTGAGTCATTCCGCGGAAATGGCTACTGCTTCCAGTGCTCACCATCAATCTACAACCTCACGAGCCTACAATCGTCAGGCATCTATTCGCTCACCAGCCTGGTATGAGTGGCTCACAAGGTGACTAAAAGCAGAACTATCAGTAGCTCAATTGATCAGGCGGAACGCAAACCTCGCCGTGATGGTTGGTCTTATTCAACTAGACCTCAAACCCCTCAGAGGATGTGGATAAAAAAGCGGAAAAGGTGGTTACCTATTTAGGCATCAGCAGTAAGCCGGTATGCAACACTGACGCTCCGCTGCTGCACAACCATCACCAATCGCATGTGGGATAAAAAACTGCAAGGGTCGTCCGGTCCCTATGCAAGTTCGAAACCGCGCTGTCATATTACGAGACAAGCACATCACCTATAGGCCACTGGCCGGTGGTTACATATTTAGTCTATTCAAAGGTTACATTAACAGTTCCAACCTTCATCCTAGCAGATCCGAGGACTACTTCCTGCATTCATATAGCTACTAATACAGTGTAATCCCTTCCGAAGACAAAAGTAAAGCGTCAATCAGCGTGGTTCAAGGAATGAAGGATTAGGGGCATAATGGCGGGGGATGTGTGAGAAACGGAGGTAAAACTGTTGTCGCGGTCCATCGGGCCGACGTAAAGGTGCGGAACAGGATTTATGGGATTCGAACTATCAGGAGCATTACCGATTCAATCCTACCTTTATCACCAATATTCACGTCATCGATCAGCCGAAAAACAAATGCGCACACCGAACATCAACAGCAACTCCGCCTAGTGTTCTGGTTTGTTGTAGCACGTGACTATCAAGCAAGAAAAAGAAAGGAATTGTCGCTTGCGTGTCCTGCAGGTGAGCGTAGAGCCAAAAAGCATTTAAAAGTACTGTGATAATGCATTAAATGTGTAATCACGGAAACTCATCGATTTAACGAGAAAACGAGAGTCGGGAGAGTTTAAACGAAAAACCAGTGAGAAGCTTACCAATGGTTATGCAGGAAAAGTAATCATGGGACTCATCCATCACCTTTTCACCGTGCAAACGTCGTTTGTCAGGATGATGGGTGAGCAGCTTTTTACGATCTGAAAGAAATGACTGAAATGGAGCAAAAATACGTACAAGCCCGACGTATGTCCTCCGAGCTTGCAAGATGACGTGATTGTTTTAATCCGAGAATGGCATACAGATCATGCGTTTTCCAATCCTTCGGATCCAACGATTTCAAGTAAGTTTCATCGTCCGTGTCGAACAAACCTGGTCCATCCAATTTGTGACCAATAAGGTCCATAATAAGCACGACATGGGGGTGCGGTTCATACGGAAGAAGTTCGAGGGTGGTCACTTGGAAAAATGTAATTCGAGTAGAGAAGCAACCCACTGATACAATGAATGCGGGGGATAAGATACGTAACGCCAAGCTCAACAGTTCTGCGGACTTATAACGGGAAAAAGGGGACCAGGTCCTGATCTGAAAGAAATGAAAGCCTGTGATACAATGGTGATGAGAGTCAGGGTGCGGTGCACTGGGATGAATATGCGAAATTGCTCTCCAACCCAGGAAGGAAGTTAAACTGGACTACATCCACAATTCAGAATAAATGTGATCGATTTCATTTGAAGACCAAGGGCTTGCGTAATAGCTGAATACGACATCGGTACACAGTCCAGAGGGCTAAATTTAATCCAGATAGAGAAACGATTTAATCAAATTGCACTGAGTTATGCCACAATAATGATAATAATATGAATAATAATAGTAATAACGATGACTCAAGAGAAAGATAGCCAAATGGAGCAGCTGAAAAAAATAAATAATTTGAGGCTAAATTTCGACTTTGAGAAGCGCTAACCTTGGTCGACCAATGAGCTAGTCTATGCTACTTGTCACCTTCGAGTTCAACGCAAATATTTGAAGTATTAGTATGAGGCAGGCCGAATTGACCGGCTTGTATACGTGTAAGGCACATGATCAGGCCAGGCGACTATAGTGTAACGGACACTCCAATACTGTACTGTATGCAAGAGTGCGACTAGATTAGATCATCATCATCATACTACACGTTAGCTGGAGGTGGAGAACACCTCAGCTACTGTGCCGCAATACACAGAAAAAAGGAGAGAAAAAAACAACTGGTGCAAGCTGACTGAGCTACCGGTAACGGATGGGCATCGTTCCGGTAAGCTACCAGCCGGCTGCTGTGCACCAAAAAAATACTATGCAAAATTATATAAGGCTAAATAATGAGATCGTGGTTGGAGGGGGAGGCTAAGAGGGATGGGTGGGACAAAGAAGCTCACAGCACGAACGCCACTGAGGCCGGCTCCTAGCCATATCAGCAAGTGTGTCCAACCAAACGTGTTTATCGTCTTTCGGACCCCAACCAGGGAGCCGAGACGTTCCAACCGAGGCCAGCTCAGAAGTGAGGGCCTTCATTCCCCTCAACCAAGTCATCACTTGGCCACCCCTCCTCTTCTTCCATCCACACCCCCGGCGCGCAAACAACACACGTCGCGGGAGTCGGTGGGCTGGCATGCGTAACACGTGGCCGAGCCATCGGAGCCTGATGCGTGAAATAACGGTGCTGAGGGGTTCAGTTCCTTTTCCTGTGCCGTAAACGAGGCGTCGAACACGCTCGTTACTCACGCGGTGTTCCAACCAGATGTGAGCTAAATTACGAAGGCACCGGTGGTCGAACGTAACTGGCCTCTTCAGGTCCGCTGCTTTAAGCGGCCAGGTTTCACAACCGTACAGTAGGGTCGAACGTACCGCTGCATTGTACACTCTACCCTTCAGGGCGAGAGTGATGTCGCGCAGGCGCCATAAGTGGCGAAGGTTAGCAAAAGCGCCCCGAGCTTTTACTATACGATTCGTGTTCTCATCTTCAATCCCACGGGCGCTGATACAACTTTCCAGGTAGTTGAATTTTTGAACGACTTCTAGCTGATACCCAATAAGGGTCAGCGAAGGAGGCGGTCCAGGCCAATCTTGGAGGAACGCTTTGCACTTCGAGGGTGCGAAGCAAAACCCGAAGTGACGGACAGATAGTGTTAATCTGTCCAGTGTCGCTTGGCACGTTTGTGAGCAGTCACAGATGAGGGCAATATCATCAGCATAATCTAAGTCAAGAAGTCGTTCTCCTGGGAGCAGATCCATACCATCTAAGTCGTGTCCTGTAAACGCGATTCCCATGACTTCGTCAACAGCGAAGTTGAAGAGAAAAGGTGACAGCGGGCATCATTGTCTCACGCTGCTGGAGATATTAGAGGGCGACGACAACTTGCCGTAAGCCCTCACTCTGCCCGAGCTACGCACATATAATGCTCGGATAATATTCACATATTCCTCAGGTACGCCTTTCCTGAGTAGACAGTCCCAAAGTGCATGTCTATCCACTGAGTCGAATGCACCTTTGATATCAAGGAACACGACTACGGTGGGCCGCCAGTATAGGTGACGGTGCTCCAACAACTGACGCAAAGTGAAAATGTGGTCAATGCAGCCACGACCTCGACGAAATCCAGCTTGCTCTTCACGAATCTGGCTTTCACGAGTGCCAGTCAGTCGGTGAAGGATGACAGAGGCAAGCAATTTGGAGGCAATGGAGATCAGAAAATAGTTAAGGGACAGTTAATAATCTGGTTACCAACCTATCATCCAGTCAAGATAAAACTGTTCGTTTAACTCTGAGGCACATAAGAGAAGCGCACAGGTTATGATAATTTGTTGAAAAATATATACAAACAAGCTAATAGAAATAATATATTACATTTTCTGAAGTGGCATATGCATAGTGTCGTTAAACAATTAAGGGACATATTTGTCCCTATATGCATCAAAACCAAGTTAACAATTACTTGCTATGGAAATCTGCAAAACAGTTGCTTTCAGATGCATAACATGAATGATCGCAGACTACAAAAATTATCAGTTCTGTTTTCCATTTTATTTTGTGTACAGTAAGAACATCTTTTGCGTTTTTCTGCCTTTTTCATAACATGTTCTGGCTTGCGATGGTTGCTTGCCATTTTCGACCGCCTTTGTGTTTGAATATTTGTTGGAATGCTTCGCTGTCTGCAGAAGAAATCACATTTCAGCGAACGTGCCAGTGTTGTACAAAATGCAATCCGCTTAATTGGAGTGTCATGGAAGTGGTACATTTCATTGATCTTCAGATAAATTATAAATGAATTATTTACAGAAATGTCAACCAAATCAAAGAAGATGCGAAGGTAATATTTTATTCTGGCTCTCCTGTCAACTTCATAGGTCACCTTTGTCTGGCCCATAAGATCAGCACCACCCATATGTTGATTATATTTCTGAATCACCAAATGACAGTAACCATCTTGTTTGTCAGCTGATTCTGCTACTCGTCTCTTTACGGAAACCGTGGGAGTTGGCGATATGAAGTTGCTCAACATCAGAACACTTCTACTGTCCATCTATTCCACACACACACGTAGTGATGGCAAACATTTTCTTGTGCCCTACTTCTAATTCAAGCTGGACACTTTTAACATCTGGACACTGATGCAGATCAGATCACAAGCAGTTCTTGCTCGCATGCTTGAGACTACTGCCAATGATGTCTGTTGCCTAACATAAACCCGATTATAGAACCCTAGCACAACGCTACGACTGGTATTGCCGTCTGTGAGTTTTGCTGGCACTTTCACATTGCGCTTCTCTGAAGACGAAATTGCTGAAACTGCTGGTCTGCCGGTGTGGGGATTGCGTTGAGCGCACATGCTGAGGCCGCTCTACTAAACTGCATCCCTGTAAAAAGTCGAGGCTGCGCGATCTGACTTGTGACCTCAGTGTGGCTTTCCAGATGCGGATCTAGCAGAAGTTTCTTCTTCGTTGTAGCAACGTGCGCTCCCACAGACTACAGCTCGGAGTCAGTTAAAGGCGAGCTCTACTGTCAACTGTCCGAGCTTCTCCGAACAAAGTCCCGCACAGACATTGAGGCGCTTGCGGGGGACTTAAACGCGAAGTCGGTGGACATGAGGTTGAAGAGCGTGAACTCGGTGGTCAACATGGTCATGGCACTAGCCGAACATCATCATCAACAGCAGCACATCAACCGCTTGAACTGATGCTTCTCTGAAGTACAATCACGGTGACCCACGAGACGAAGAACAATAAGAGGGAGAGAAGGGGGCCTACCGTAAAACCTTAACGCCCTAAACAAACACTCGCGGTTAAGGTGTTTACTCCTCACCAATAACCTACCATCACAAACAGCTGACTATCGTGCAAATAAAAGGTGGCATCCGCGAGACAGCTTCTTGCGGCTTTCACAGCTCCGCGTCAGCATCAGCCATTACCTCACAGATAACTCAGCACCTAACACACCTTAAACAAGTAATCCGACTAGGAGACCAAAGCAGATGAGCCACTGGTGTCGACTGAGAGCCATGCCCTATAATGTCTCAAGCCAAGCACGAGGCGGGTCACCTAGACTCCAGCCTGGAAGGCGAGACGGAACAACCGCACCGAGTTTGGTCGTCAGTGACTTCATTTTCCGCTGCAAAGTCAACTTTGTCCACCTCGAGGCTTGCGCCACTTTACATCGGGCAAACAAAACAAGGCCCTCCTGAGTAAGCGGTGACCAGGGATACGTAGTACGTGCCTAAGCCAACGCACCTTATTCAGTGCTACCTGTTGCTCTAGGGAACTAGTCTCGTTATCACTGCCTAGCGCTTGTCTACGCTCATCATCGTTGCGGACACGCTGGTGTTATTTGACACCAGCAATGCTCCGCAGACAACGAAAGTGCCACAGTTCCTCAGATGGGAGGGAGCAAGTCTCGCTTCCAAAGAGTAGGACGGCCCACACTATGGCCTTGTATACACGACCTTTCAAACGAAGGAAAACTCCTTTATGTCACCACAGATGTCGCAGATACAAAAAAGCAGTTTGGCCTTTTGCAAGGTGTGAATTGATTTCAGTGGTTATGCGCCCATCGTTGGTGATGCAGCTGCCAAGGTAGGTGAAGAGATCAACTAAGTTGAGTTCTTTGCCAACAATGGATCATCGAGTGGCTGGTGATCCTGTAACAGCACTTTGAGGGTGCAGTAATGTATGTAATCTCAACTGACTATCAAATAGACAAAGAGCCAACAGAAAACCATGGAGATTAATGGATAAGCAAGATTCATCGCGTCATAATCAACGTGGTATGGTAGTCGAAGGTGAGAAACACACTTCAGCTAATATGCAGCAGGAAGAATGGAACATTTTGACAAAAAGTAGAACAACACATTTTTAGTTTGTTTTTCACACGCTGATTTTTCCATTTTTTGTCCTTTTCAATGTTTGTAGTATTAAACACGTGAACTATTACAATACTGTATACAATTCTTCCATTGTTTCCGGTTGCGGGCCATGTCTTCAAGAGTCCTAAGCTATTGGCACTCCTCATCTTTGGGCCCCCATCCTGGAAGACGTACGCATCCAACAGCGGTT